ACTACTTTCATTATTCATTAAATAACTTTATATTTACACTCTGTTGGTCGATTTTATTATAAAGTAGAATCTATTTTCTTTTTTTTTAACTCCTTGCCAAGACGAAATGAAAACATATTTTATTCTATTAATGCACATTAAACATTAAATGTACACTCAGTCAGGTATCGGCAGTGTGTTGAAATATTTCAATGCATTAGCTGCACATGTATTTTCTAAATTATAAACTGGATGAATTATTTTCACTAAATTTAAGATTCTTGATCCAATGATCAATGGCCTTGGAGAATTTTGCGCAACAGATAATCCGCTGAGCGCATAACACGTGTGATACACGTCTTGACTTCTGAAATCAAACGTGACAGCAGTTTATAATAGTAGTTTTGTAGTAATAGTTACGAGAAAAGGGGAAAATTGATCGTACATTCCGGGTTTGTCTAAAAGGCTGCCATGGGGATGTTGACAACACAGTAATAAGTACTCTTGTAAGGCCTCTTGATCAAACAGCCAATGACAGCCATATACATTGTCTTCCATACTTAAAATCGCATGAAGCAATGGAAAAGCTCCACCCTGCCAAAAGGAGTAACAACCATCCACCAATTTGTTTGTTCTCCCTTGAAATCCACCCTCCAAACGCATTTGCCTGTTTACTATCCATCTCTGAAACGAGACATACACGTGACTAAAGGATTCTTTAATACATATAAAGTTAATAATATTAGCTGAATACCAGAAATGATCTCAGACAAAACAACTGAGGTTTCCCAATAAGCATAAGTGCTGCTAACCCACAAAATGCATATCCACCGTGAGCTTCCATGCCAGGAGCAGCTCCAAAACCACCTTCCCATGTTTGACATGCAGCTATCCAGTTTTCGGTTTCTTTGAATATCTCAGGAGTATAGATATTCGTTAATTTCGCTACAGAAAGAGCACAGTAGACCCCTCTTATGTCTTGCTCTCCATCCTTGTGTATACAAAAAGATCCATCTTCCTCATGCAACGATAATAAAAATTGTTTAAGTGCTTTTCTAAAACATGTAAGAAAAAGGAGTTTAGAAAAAGTATCGCCGAGTGGTTTCGTGAGTTTCAGTAATAGTTTATATCTTCTTCATATATCTACCTATCAATTATTTCGTAAGCCTGAGGTGTGCCAATAGTGCATAGTGCATTTATTGCTGCGTAAGTAGAGGCCAAATGTGGTAGCTGCCCTGGACCTCCTCCAAAACCACCTTCTGGTGATTGACATTTGCCCAAGAAGGCAACAATTTTCGAATATTCATCGCTGTCTAAACGTTCTCCTAAGATCTGAAGGGAATGTAGAATCCAGTAGCATAACCATGGTCTGCTTGAATCTAACTAAAAAGTAACAAATGAAAGATAGTATGGATAAAAACCTTGAATAACTGCAAGATCAGCTATTAAGTACAGTTGTACTGGTATTAAATACAATATTTACCTGATAGGATTCACTTTGGCGGAACAATGATTTTTTTAAAAATGAAATATGTTTCTGTCTCGTTAAGATAGGCACATTTCTCAGTTTGTATAACTTAAGTACTTCAGTTTCTACTTCAGCCTACAATGCGAGAGTTAAACAATAGTTAAAAATATACATATTGGATAAATAATTAATTGATCAATTAAATCGGCTGTTTACCTGTTTTGCCGAAGTTGCACTTTGCCATCCCTCATCGTCTTGTTTTTGCTTTAATATTTCGGCGTAAGTTCTAACGCGAGGTTCACCGGATTCATTACTCACTGAATTCCACATAATCTATCAAACACGTAGATCGTATTAACAACAATTATGATACAGTTTAAATATACGTGAAACGGGTGAGAATTATAATAAAAAATTTTAAATAAAAGGCAATAAAAGAGGATCTCTAAGCCAAACAAAACTGCGCTTCATTGATAGAACTTTGTATATATTACATTTTCTACAGTTCGATAATATATAGGATAACTGTGTCACTTTTATCGTATTATCGTCGTACATATATATATATATACATATATGTATCTTATATATACGGTAATTACAGAAGAATTAGGAATGAAACGTCAAAACCAGTATGATACGAACTACGCCTATTTAATCGCAAGTTGCGCTTACAACAAATATGCAAATGATTAAAATGTGGAAAGAAACCTTTAGTTAATAATCTCGTCGTACGGTGGTGTGCTTCGTTTCCAGGCAGGTTAATTTAATTCGAACGTTTTTCTATATTCGAGAATCGTTTCTTTCATCTCGTGTTCGTCCTAAAATAGAACATCAACGATGCACATTAAGACGAGTGTCGAGTTTTCGCCGAAAAAGTTCGTCGTTCATACATTTTACGGTGAAAAGACTTGCTTCTGCTGGGAGGAGAACAATCTTGTGATATTCCGCTACACGAATCGCGATGACATTTCCGCTGAGGTTCTGACAACTCCAGCTCGGATAAAGACAATACAATGTTTCGGTGATCGAGCTTTTGTAATTTGCGTCCCGCGGGGCACTTACAAAATCTCGAAAGACCGAAAGTTTGCTGTTCTGAGCAGCAGTGCTATTGGAATGGGCACTGTATTTTACGAAACACTGAAACCGAGAGACAATTATCTTTACTTGGACAATAAACAAACAATGGCACATAAACTGCTGTTTGAACTGTCTTCCAATGAATGTTCGGCGGATCAGTTGTGCGTTTATCTATTAACAGCAGACACTATTGCAAGACAATTTATGACAGCTTTAACGTCCAACGATTCCAATGTTGAAAATTTATGTATAATCGCAGAAGCTCAGAATGTGTTTGTATTATTCAAAGAGACAGTACAAATAATCTATCACACTATACATCCGATTAAGGATATAATACCTGTACAAAAAGATTCAAGGATTGCAGGATTACTTTTTCTCACCAGATTAGATGAAATTATTTTAATACGTTCTAAACATGATAAACTTGTCTTCGAAAAAATTTACTTGGGTACACAGATCGAAACTATATGTGCTGGTTTCAGTCAATTATTAACAGATTCATTATGGATCGTTTATGTCTGTGAATCTAAAATGTATTATGCGAGAAAGCAATTATTAGTTGAAGATGTTCAACAGATAAGAGTTCAGGATAGAAAGTATGTTTGTTTTCAGTCTTACGATTCCAAAGAGATTTTGTGTTTGACACAAGACAAAGAGTTGGTAGAAATTTCGATAAGCACGATAGAAAGAAAATTATCAGAGATAAACGATACTTCTATTAATTTACATCCTAGTATGTTAGATGTTACATTTATGATGGATATATTGTACAAAGAAAGCCAAAAGTTACATTCCCTGAACGAGATATTAACGATAGAAGAAGACAAGTTAAAAAGGATAAATTTATATGCTCATAAATATACGGTGCGGTCGTGCCCAAAGATGACGATAAATAGGATGGCTAATCAATTATACTGGTCAATAAATTTCGAAGATGCCTTACCAAAAGGCAATATAGTTGTCTTTAACGTAAAATTGGGGTATCAAAACTTTTTTTCTATGAAAAGAATAGAGCAACAAACTGCGATCGATATTCACATACCTGAACATCTGACAACGCATCGTTTACAAGTTTCAACAGATTTAGTAATCCTCAAAGAAGAAAACTGCCCTTGGTTAGTTATTAAAAATTGTATAATCAATTCGGAACAAAGTAAAAAGAAGAAAAAGTCAAATTTTATAAATTCTAAGATAGCTATGCTTGAAAATTTAATACAGGAAGGGAACATTACGATGGACAAACTGTCCGATATTAAAAGATCTGTTAGGAAAGAACTGAATGATATTTAAAAGAACTTAAAAAGAATTTAATGTTGAATTGATTTTATTAGAAATAAATATGATTTTTATTCAACTTTTGTACACACGGATGTAGACATACATATAAAATACTATAAATTACGTTATACTACTTAATCGAATAAATAATTGTACATTGTAATTGTAATTTTTGAAACATCTCTCGTAGAGTTCTGTGTACACATCTTTTCCCCGTACATATTCGTAGACCATGGTATATGCAATCAATTACGAATTGTAATATCATAATTTTTCCGAATTTGGTACTTCGATGATACTACCAACTATGCCACAGTCAGAATATTTCTTTAAATTTTTTAATGGATTTCCTAAGCTACTACCAGTTCCCAAGCGAGTTTGAAATGCTTGCAATGATTTCGCGTTCTTCTTCGGTCCTGCGTTCTCTGCGCTTCTAATAGAATTGCTGTCGAGTCCTCGGCGTTTCCACAATTTAGCGATACATACGACACGAAAATTCTCCGAGAGTACTCCGTAAAGTAATGGATTAACTATCGTGTTTAATTGCGCGATAATCAAAGTCCAAACGAAGTGATGAGACCTCAAAAAGAAGTTCGTGTCATCAACGGATCTTTGTCCGTCTACGTAGATCAGTAACATCATAATAGTGATCGGTAACCACATTACTAGCACCGCTACCACGTTCAACAGCAGTATTCGTACCACACGAAGATGTTTGTACAAGCGCGTCTCTTCTTGTTGAGATAGACTTCCGGTGCGGCCGCGGCCTTTCTTGCTGCCAGTAAAAGACGTGCAGGACATTTTTCTTCCGGCCCAAGGTAGTAATGTCCCCACTACAGATAGTTCGGAATCTCTTCTACCTGTTGCGCTCGCACCGCCTCCAACACCATCACCACAACCGCCGCTAATTCCTCCGCTACTACTCTCCAGACCCTGTGTATACATAGTCATTTCCTTCGGTTAATCTCGTTAGAAAGTATATATAAGGGGAAAGAAATGTGCGACGGTTACTTGTGCTATGCACGGTACGGCCCACGTGCTCCGCGTATCGAGGATCTTTTGAAAGATTCGTTGATAATGGTAGACCAGAAGAACCATGGGCAAAAGACAAGCCAGGACGATGATCGGTATCGTGTAACATAACGAAATATTCAGGATTTCGGTCCGTGGAAAAACTAAAGTGCAAATGACTTTATCATTCACGGGTTCCTGCGTCAAAATGCGTAATATTCATTTAGATAAAATATATCTGTTCCGCGGTGTATCGAATGAAACGAAGCGAAAAGCAAAAGTATTGCGAACCTTTTGTTTAAACCAGAATACGACCGGTAAAAAAACGAGAGACGCGATGATCCAAGTGATGAGACTTGTGATTACGACTCTGGTCCTTGTTAAAGCACTCCTGTAAGGTGCTATCGTTAAACATCGATGCCTGTCCATTGATATGAACGTCAATGTCCATAGAAGCACGAAGCCGCAGACAAACTAAAAGGTATAAAAGGTATCGTACTCCTCTCCCAATTTTATTTTATTATTATAAGCTCTCGTACTCGTCTAATATTAATTACATCGAATATTATCATGAATATCGATTAACGAATCACGAACAAATTAAAATATTCCCTGCGCATAAATTTTCTCTGTTTTATCTTAATAACCACAGAGAAGAACTGATCCGTCAACAGGTGGTTTATTTATAAATCCATCCTTCGTGGCTGATTACATACCAGCCTGACTCTGAACCATCGGACAGAAAGGTCTCTATCGAATGACAATAGCTTACCTTGTTATGCGTACGTTATATATATATACTTACATACATATATATAATATGTTGTGTTTTGCTTCTATTTTGATTAAATTAAAACGAGCGTGCTAAAGCGAATCAATTGGTTATTGAGAATTTAAGCTTCCAATACATGCACGTGTAGGTATAGACGCCGTTCGTTTACATTTCGATCGATCAGAGGATGGGGTGCATATAGGAAAGGACGGTATTTGGTGACCCTACCTGAGTATAAGGTAATAGTTTGCAAATCGCATCCCCGAAACGCCACGACTGCGTGAATCTGGTGTACGCGATCGCGGGCACGCCGACGGTGAACAAAAGATCCGCTGCGGCCAAGTTCACCAGGCACATGTTCGTCGGCGTTCTCAGTTCCTTGTATCTTAATATACAACCGGCCATTCCCAAATTACCACCGACGGCTAAAACGAAGCTGGCTGCCAAAACCACCACCTGTGCATACATGCATGCTGTTTTTTACATTTTCAAATTCTTTCTCCGAATTGCCGCGGGTCGCAAACTATACGTTGTAACATTTTTAATTTTGTTATTGGGCAATCGATCCATATTCAAACTCACCTCCATCATCGTACCGATGCCTGTTCGATCTTCGAACTGGCTATAATACGTAAAATAGTATCGCGCTCCCCATCCTTCTTCGTCCTCACCCCAAAGATAAGACGAATTCATTTTTATTTCGATACTTTTTCAGCGACTAGATGATCACCATATTTTTGCCTCCGTCCCGTACGCTTTATGTCGATCGTTTTTCGATGGGACATTTCGCATTTCACTGAGTTTAAAGTCTATAGTATCGACGTTAGTCCAGTCGAATGTCCGTCTATACGAAACGACTTATCAGACCTATAACAGGCGAATCATTTGATGCAATTTAACTTGTAAACAAACGAATTGCGATCTATTAGAATCGGTTAGGATAGAAGCTATTATACTGGCATCTCTTTATAGGTATTTGTCTGTTTTGTAAAACATGCATTATCCCATGCTGAATATTCTGTATGATGCTAATAAGTAGGTTTCGCGCCCGTGACGAATTTATTTGGTCAACAACTTTTATGCCTTCACGGGTCTTTTATTGGATTTAAACTGTTCGAGCGAAACAATCGTTTCGGTTTTTATGCGCGGAGATATTTTAAAAGGTGACGGAACATTGATATCGTTCTTCTATGAAAAGAAAAGATCGAAGTTGAATTTCGCGTAATCATAAGAATTGAATTGTGCACCTTAACGACTACGGGGAGTGGCTTTCACCTCTTAAACGTATAAAATGCTTATGCCTCATTAATGACCGCGTTCTTTATTCCATTTGACCAAGAATCATAAAACCTGGTATCGAGCAATCGTTTTTTTTCTATAAAATTACTTCGTTCGATTTTTTTCAAGGAAGATCAGATTTCAATTTTTCATGCTTCCATAAATATTTGTAAAACCTACCTGATGCCTCGAGTGTCGAAAGCGTAATTATAGTATATCCGAACTTGAAACCGAAATTTTTAAACAACACTCAGGCGCGCACGCTGCGTCGAAAGGGATATAATAAATGAAAAAGTTTACACAGATGCGAGAGATTAAAGTTACTTGTAATTACTACGGGAAGCTATGTAATTTCAATTTTAATTCGTGGATCCGAACGATCATCACTGAGTACTTGTAAAAAGGCAGACACATCTGACCCCGGTACAAGATATCCGCAAACTGTCGACGGCGTGCAACTCAACGAACTCGACCGAGCTGTGTTTCGAGAACTACGGCGCAAATTGCTCCGCGCATTCGATTTCAAACGATTTTTAAAAACGAATCGTGAGTTCGTTTTTAAAGTATTATATTGCAATCGTTAAATTCATCATCGTGCACCGAAATATCACTGTTTCTGATACGTTGTTTTAGATTAGAATGCTCGTATTTCTGCGTGTTTATGTTATGACTGATCGAGCGGTACTTGGCTGGTGTGTAACCTTCAGTTTGTAAGAGAAAACGTTACGTTCTGTGCAATTCGTGAAACTGTCGAGATTTATTGATTGCCTTATACAATAAAAAAGATCAGAACTAGGCCAGGAGCAACCTGACAGAGGGGAACTTGAATAGCTATACCTATATGTCACGGATTGTCAACGATCTTCCTCAAAAGAAGGGACCGTCACGTTTCTCACGTATAGCAGCAGAAGGGTAAGAATTATATTTCCTCTCGTTGAGAAAATGCAACGGTCCGGTCGGAATGCAAAGATTCGTTCATCGGAAAGAAACCGAGTTATATCTTTTTTATGACAGACTTTTGCGTGACAACAATTTAACTCTCATCCTCCTGTCGCTACATAACTGAGAATAATTTAATAAACGAGATCGATGCGTCTGAAAACGAAATTATAGTTTTTATTTTGATAAATATATATAATATTACGTTGATAAATATTTGACTCTGCTTTTTCTTTTTGAATGTACATTTTTATCAACATACATCGATTCTACACTTACGTATACAATGTTGACGAAATTAGATACATACTGTGCAATTGTTTCTCCACTCTACACCAATACATACTCGTTTTCAGCTGATAGCAAATATGCAAGACTTTTATAGTAAGAATTCGGGTCCGTTAAAAGATTATACGTGTCGTGGAAGATCGAATAGTTTTTCGAAATATGATTTTGGCAAAATTTCTTAATTCCTTTGCTATGTAAAAATTCTATTGGTGTAAGTAGTTTACATTTATACTTATTTATAGACACTATTACACGATATCAATCGAAAGAGAACAATAATTTTTTTTCCTTTTTCACATACATGGTCCATTGATGTTCGAATACCTGTTACAAAATATAGCTTTGTAAAGACAACATAAAATTCTTGTTAACATAAACACTCTGCTTCTATACGGTAGACTGTAAATGCGCGCGAACGCGTGTATATATATCTATAAATCTCAACTAGTCGCTAAAAGAATGCATAATGATTATACATGAAACCGCAAAAATGTTAGGTGTCGTACACGGCCTGGGTTCAATAATATAGAAACACAAGCAATAAAGGACACAAAATAAACGATAAAAGAACACATAAATGCTGTACGATACACGTCCACTACTATTCCATCTATTGCAATTTAAATTTATAGTATATATACGAAGTGGTTTATAAATATATTAACGTTAACTGTAACAATATATTTTTAATTAGTACGAATATATATATTTTAAAGCTATATTATATAATATACATATAATATGTATCTTGTGTTTACGAAAAACATTCCACAAAGTTGTCCAAGACGTGCAAACATGTACGTTCACATAAAACTGTTCAAACAATAAATATATAATATATCGATATAAAAAATAAAATCTGAACGACTTTGTACAGTTTGCGCTACGCTAAAACGGACAATTGCGACGAGGGTAAGTAAGTACAATTTACTGTATAGAATAAACTGATATTACACCTACATAAACGATAAGTACTTTCAAATCTTTTTACCATATCTGTAAAAATTGTTTAAAACAAGCATTAAGAATTAATACCTATGTATGCATATAAAAAATATGGCAGTAGTAGTCTATTAAACTTTTAAGAGGGGATAACCGTAAGCCGCAATGATTTAAATGGGGTAATTGGAAATTTAATCATTATCTAGTAATTCTATACAACAAACTCTCATTCTATGTCATTCTTTGATTAGATATACTAATTGAGTACTATCACCCGCAACGAAAAACGAATGATAAATTGTTTGTTCACAGAGCACTCGGTTACCTCACAGAAGGTTTAATGACTTATTACGTAATTATTATCTCTTCGTTAGGGATACTCTAAAAACCCGAAATTTCTGTCGATGAGACACACTATTTCAAACTACGTATTCATCTCACTGAAACTTAAGATATGTATAAACGTTGAACATCGTGTTGTATATATATGCGTGACTTATTTTCCATTTCTTTTCTTTAATACAATTACCTGTATAAAGATGACAATACTTAAAAGGATTGTAAAACGTACGTTAGGCATAAAACATATTAAAATATCGAACTTGTTGAAATTCGCTGTTTCTCTATAGGGATTTCGTGCACGGTAGATAATATCGTATGTATGACTTTATGAGAATTTCCAGGCTGAAAGCAAATAATCAGTATCTTTGAACGAATAGACGTGTAGCTTGGCATCCTACAGAAATTATATTCACTCCCTATTGAAATGCATTTCATTACGCACACGATTAAACATAGTTTATGAATTTTTTTTTAAGGCACTGAATAAAATATTTATGTGTACATATGATATATACCGAATATCTCATCATTCATTCCATGCGGGAACAATTTGCCCCTCTTATTTACACTATTCACAATCGTAGAAATATAATGCAATGGATACTTGATAACTAAGTGAGAAAATGTATCATATTTCAGAGATCCCTGTATGCTCGTAGAATACGTTAGACAGTACATACATAGATGTATTCTGTTAGTTTTAGCACTTTTTTCTATAAGATAGACGGTGTTAACGCGTTCTTGGTCAGTCACGCGGTATCGAATGAACAGTTTCAATCTAGAAAATTTATAAAATCTAATTTTAAGTTTACAGTAATCCTTGCTTTTCTACGACAGTTAAAAGTAGTAAGATCGTGATTACGACCGCGTTAACGTTTTGATAGTATTTTTCTTTTAAATAATTTTCAACGCCTTTTTTGATCATGAATGATAACGGATGGAAAATTGTATACGGTAATCGGTAAATGTCATGTAAATATGTATTTCATCGACACGAATGAAATGCATATTTCAGAAGCGTCCTCTGAGTCGTGTGAGAAGGTATTATGTTAAAGTGATATTTACAGATGTTAAGAAAAAATCGTGAAGAGATAGATGTGCATTTTATGATAATAGGAAATAAAGATTCTTATGTATCTGACAGTGAGGAGACATCATTTTTGATAAGCGTTCCGCTCTTTGAGGATACGAAATATTTTTTAAAAGAGGATTAGAGAGAGATTATGCTTGGTGAAACAGTGTCCAAATGTAGGAATGCAGCATTCATCCATTATTATTATTATTATTTGATCTTTATACGTATCAAGTTATTTACGTAGGCTATAAGAAAAATTGAAAGTATATGAGTATTTGAAATTTTGGCAATCTTCCCTGAGCGTACTAACTTTACAGAACTACGATATATTTATATATATATCGTGAATGATTTTCGCACCAACTTTTTGAAACTTAAAGTACGCAAAGATCAGTTTAAATCTGAACGACTTTGTACAGTTTGCGCTACGCTAAAACGGACAATTGCGACGAGGGTAAGTAAGTACAATTTACTGTATAGAATAAACTGATATTACACCTACATAAACGATAAGTACTTTCAAATCTTTTTACCATATCTGTAAAAATTGTTTAAAACAAGCATTAAGAATTAATACCTATGTATGCATATAAAAAATATGGCAGTAGTAGTCTATTAAACTTTTAAGAGGGGATAACCGTAAGCCGCAATGATTTAAATGGGGTAATTGGAAATTTAATCATTATCTAGTAATTCTATACAACAAACTCTCATTCTATGTCATTCTTTGATTAGATATACTAATTGAGTACTATCACCCGCAACGAAAAACGAATGATAAATTGTTTGTTCACAGAGCACTCGGTTACCTCACAGAAGGTTTAATGACTTATTACGTAATTATTATCTCTTCGTTAGGGATACTCTAAAAACCCGAAATTTCTGTCGATGAGACACACTATTTCAAACTACGTATTCATCTCACTGAAACTTAAGATATGTATAAACGTTGAACATCGTGTTGTATATGCGTGACTTATTTTCCATTTCTTTTCTTTAATACAATTACCTGTATAAAGATGACAATACTTAAAAGGATTGTAAAACGTACGTTAGGCATAAAACATATTAAAATATCGAACTTGTTGAAATTCGCTGTTTCTCTATAGGGATTTCGTGCACGGTAGATAATATCGTATGTATGACTTTATGAGAATTTCCAGGCTGAAAGCAAATAATCAGTATCTTTGAACGAATAGACGTGTAGCTTGGCATCCTACAGAAATTATATTCACTCCCTATTGAAATGCATTTCATTACGCACACGATTAAACATAGTTTATGAATTTTTTTTTAAGGCACTGAATAAAATATTTATGTGTACATATGATATATACCGAATATCTCATCATTCATTCCATGCGGGAACAATTTGCCCCTCTTATTTACACTATTCACAATCGTAGAAATATAATGCAATGGATACTTGATAACTAAGTGAGAAAATGTATCATATTTCAGAGATCCCTGTATGCTCGTAGAATACGTTAGACAGTACATACATAGATGTATTCTGTTAGTTTTAGCACTTTTTTCTATAAGATAGACGGTGTTAACGCGTTCTTGGTCAGTCACGCGGTATCGAATGAACAGTTTCAATCTAGAAAATTTATAAAATCTAATTTTAAGTTTACAGTAATCCTTGCTTTTCTACGACAGTTAAAAGTAGTAAGATCGTGATTACGACCGCGTTAACGTTTTGATAGTATTTTTCTTTTAAATAATTTTCAACGCCTTTTTTGATCATGAATGATAACGGATGGAAAATTGTATACGGTAATCGGTAAATGTCATGTAAATATGTATTTCATCGACACGAATGAAATGCATATTTCAGAAGCGTCCTCTGAGTCGTGTGAGAAGGTATTATGTTAAAGTGATATTTACAGATGTTAAGAAAAAATCGTGAAGAGATAGATGTGCATTTTATGATAATAGGAAATAAAGATTCTTATGTATCTGACAGTGAGGAGACATCATTTTTGATAAGCGTTCCGCTCTTTGAGGATACGAAATATTTTTTAAAAGAGGATTAGAGAGAGATTATGCTTGGTGAAACAGTGTCCAAATGTAGGAATGCAGCATTCATCCATTATTATTATTATTATTTGATCTTTATACGTATCAAGTTATTTACGTAGGCTATAAGAAAAATTGAAAGTATATGAGTATTTGAAATTTTGGCAATCTTCCCTGAGCGTACTAACTTTACAGAACTACGATATATTTATATATATATCGTGAATGATTTTCGCACCAACTTTTTGAAACTTAAAGTACGCAAAGATCAGTTATCTATCTATATAATATTATTTTTTTCGTATTTTTGTTTTTCCTTTTTTTGTTGATAAATATTTAATTTGTTAAGTACCTAATGCCATGATAGCATTGTATGTCATAGAGGTTTTTCGTGCTCTTCGTTGTTTGGTACCTGCAATAATGACGTCGAAATGTTCGCATTTAAACATCGTCGACCATTTCCCGAATGTTAAGAGTCTTCTTGCTTTGGCAGGAGATTCGCTCTCTCTTCATCTTCCATTAACCTCTTGGCAGACATCACCCGATTTGCTTCTTGACGATTAATTTCTGTATCTAAATCTGACTTGGGTTGTCCGGGACTCGTTACTGACGGTGGCGCCTAGAACGCATACACATATGAAACAAGTGTACGTTTGCAACACAGAAGCGGCGTCATTACGACGATTAAATACGAACCTTCACTGGTGAGTTTTTCAACTTCCCGTTGTGATCACTGTACGAGGAAATGAACTTTGAATGTATGACTGGACTAGCGCTAACCGGAGCAGGCGAAGTCGGAGCAGTAGCACTGTGAATGGGAGACTGTACGGTTTCTTTTTCTTTAACTTTTTCCTTCTCCGCTTCCTTTTTAGGTTCCTTATCTTTTTCGAGGGGTAACACGGGAGATTCTGGCATGCTGCGATCATCTTCGTCCAAAGAATGTAGTAACTAAAAAAGAATCGCAGAAAAACATAACGCACTATTTCACAACTGCATGGACCTTAATATTAGGAGCATTTTATAAGATTTACCTTTTCCACTTCGTCGTCAAACTGTTGCTCTTGACCACCGGGTAACGAATCTCTTTGGCTTCTCTCCAGAAGTGTGGCCCGTTTCGCAGCCAGATATAACGATCTTTTAACTTTAACGTAGAACACTTCTGTCGCTGCACGCACCGTGTAATCGGGAACAAACGTATGACGCAGTATTGAGTCTAGATTAATTGACTGTATGCTTCCCAATGTTTGCGGATTTGTATTGGTAGGCGATTCGGCTGAAAAAATTTATTATATGAATCTACGAGTGCGGCAAGTTTAACAGGTTCAATTAAGATAAAAGATGATAAGTATTACCAACTCCAACGTTCACAGTAAGCGCTTGAGAGCCGAAGTACGTGAACGGACCGCTTTCAAACATCAGGTTCTCTTTGCCCACAGTAACTTCAACCCGTCCCTCTAAGATCAAGACGAAGTAGTCAACTGCCTTTCCTTGTTGATAGATCACCGCTCCTGGGTCATTTCTTGCTTTCTCGCGTGATTTTACTTTGATGTGATAAATAATATCTTGTTTAAGTAAACGGCGCAAAATAGGTTCTGATATTGTGTCGGGCTTAAAAGCATCTACAGCTGTGGATCATACATTAAGCTCAGACACGTCGTAAAAACGCAATAACAGGGTTCTATATAAATTTCATATTTTCTCAAATCAAAACACTTGTTCCTACTTGTAGACAAATACTGAAACATGGCCAACGTCAATTGTGGCGATATATGAATACGTTGATTTTCTTTCTTCTCTGCGAATACGGTAAAATCTTGTATCTTGTGCCTTGCCTGTCTTCTACGTTTAGTTCTATTATCCGCTGAAACGAAATGCAATTAAAATTAATCACATTCAATCATACGTAAAATTATTTTTACACGTCGCGCGAGAACAGCTTGCTTACTGAAGACATCAGTTTCATCCATGATCTCAGCTTGGATCAGTTCTTCTATAACATCTTCCAATGTAATCAATCCTATTACCTCGTAAAAGGGATCGCCTTCACCTTCGTTATTAACTCGTTGAACAAACGCCATATGGCCTTTATTGCCTGAAACAATATTTATATTTAAAGAATGTTAAGAAACTTTGGACGACTAAATTTGATAAATCCGAACCTTCTTTAAATTGCTTGAACATAATGTCTAGTGTGACGTCTTCAAAAATAAAATTACATGGATTTTGATAGAATTGGCACAACGTCTTTAGTGGCATGTTATCGTCCGGATCGACGAACGCGAGATCTTTAATATAAAGCATTGTCACGATATTCGTTCTTGTTCCCTCGTACACTGGTATACGAGAGAAACCTAGAGATTATAATAACAAACATCGTAACTTACAGTTACTTAATGTAGATAATAAATGTACAACGTGGAAATAAAGAATAAGGACCTGATTTCATAATTTCTGATACTGTCTCGAAATCTAAAATTGCATTATAGTTTAACATGTAGACGTCTTCAATTTTTGTCATGACATCTTTAACAGTTTTCTTCCGCAACTCTAATGCCCCAGCGATTATGTTCACTTCATCTTTTTCTAGATCATTGTATCCTGTTGTCACCTACAAATAATGACATTGACATAGTTATGATTTTATATGTACAAATGTCGATCTTAGATCTCGGAACTGTTAGATTATTATATTACTGGAGTACGTGTTGAGTAATTAACGGAGATTATTTACATAACTGTTACTTGTAGTAATAAACGCGCGGATCTATGCGTGTATACGTGAATACATAAATCTTGTAAAATACATTTTGAAGATAAGTTGAGATTAAATTAGCAGAGTGTAAGTGCGTAAAGTTATCTTATTTAAGTATCACAATGATAAGTAATCTAACAAACACTCCGGAGAATGTAAAAGCTTCAAATAAGCGTCAGTAGATTTATATCTTGCCTACACATGATTGAATTTAGATGTCAGTTTAATTATCTACCCTATCCATGCTCAGTCTGATAAGATTCATGTCATTACGAAGTTTGAAAAGGCATTTGATAATACGTGCTTCAAATTACATTAAGTATATAAAGAGTGATAGTAATATAGTGACTGTTAGTGACTATTAGTGACTGACTAGAGATAGTAATAAGATGTATATTGTTTTCCATACCCTCACAAGTTCTTTCAACCGCTCACGATTGTACACATTGCCGATTTCTTCTCCAAGCAGAACGTCCAAAAGTTTGCTGATAGGGTAACTTAATGGAAACGTTATTACCATAGTTAGCTTAGTAAGATAAATAGTCTTTGCTCCAATGCATAATCCATGTCTGCTGCAAATAGCCTAAAATGGAACGATACATCTGTTTAATAAATCACTTATAATCCCATGGAACGTGTAATCCTTTTAATATTCTTATCGGATAAAACGTATTATATCGTTATATACGTACCTGTGGTGAGATTTCACCGAAAATTACGATAGCCAGAGTAGAGCAAATAACAGCAACTAATCCAGAAGTTAAATCGTCCAACAGAATAGTAAACATCGAATTCACCAAAACGTTTGAGAATAAAATTGAACATAGCAAATAATTCCCATGATTTCTCACTGGCTGTATCGTTCTCGCATACTGTTTCTCCTGCAACATGTAAATTTTTATACAATTAACAATTATCAAATTTCGGACACTGAGTTATAGTCATTTGATAATTAAAAAGGTTACCTTTTCTGTACCAGTATTACAAAGTATTTTTAACTCTGTTCTGTCCATTGCCATTAATCCCAAATTTAACCCAGAGAATAAAGCAGAAAACGTAAGACACGTTAATATAATTACAACAGTAAGCCAAAGTGGTAATAATTTTTCGTATGTGTATATCTATAAATAAATGTTCATCAATAAGTGTTTTGATGCACTAACTAATAGTAATATGTTGTTTCTTCGTTTTATTACTCACAGTTTTCCATGATTCAGTGCCTTGATGTCTAAAAAGCACAGGGTTCGAATCATCGCCTCCGTTTACTGGCGGTTTCATACATATGTAAAATGGTGAACCAAGAGGCAACACAACTCTGATAGTTGCAGTGTTGTTTCTTATATTTTCCACCTATAATTGTAAAAAGGGAAGGTAGAATTACTTGCAACATAAACTTTTGATAAGAAAACAAGGTAGCAGTACTTACTGGAAATTCCTTGCTTTTAATTTTATCGCAAATAGTACCCCTTGTAGCTCGCTCATCTGTGAAAGTAATCAAAGCACCTTCTTTGATACCGTGACCAAATAATCGTATGACTGTCTTGCTGCCAGCAAGTATTTCTGGTATACCATCCTCTTTGTAACTAGGATCTTTATCTGATATTTCTACCCTCATACCCTCAATAAATGCATCTGTATGGTCTTGCTGAGTCAATATATTTTTGGGGTCATCATTCAATAATGAATTGGCACGGCGTATACGAAAGTATTTTCTGAGAATGATTGGCAGAGGAAAGAAAAGAAACAGACGAAATTAATATTCAGTTAAAAATAGGTAGAACTAATTTAAAAATAGAATTGTATAAGCTAGGAAACATTCTACAAATCGTCTTGAAATTCGTATATTAAAAATTGTCTATACTTCAATGTTTACGTAAATAGAGAATACAAACAAACGCAAACAAGGAACGCTGTCTTATTACAAATCTGCGATGTTTAATACGATGATGAATGATTAAGTGATTTTACAATACAATCTCTAGTTCTTACTAATACCAGCATTTTTACTTTATTACACAGAGATGTCGTGTTACAGAACAAAGAATATCAATTATTTATAAGGAGAAAAATTATTTTTCACCGTGTGTGGATGAAACGGAGTTATCTAATATTTAACTTACTCGGACGATACTGGAGACCTGATAGTAAAATTGCTTCCGAGATTGGTCCATGTTTCACCGAATCTGCTGACGATTCTCAGACAGAAATAGATCTCGGTAACCTTAAAATTAGGAACTTTCACGAACTTATATATCGCACGATTGCCGCTTGATGCGATCCAAACTGCATTTAATTCGTTTTTTGGATCGCAATCGTCGATAGTGGATGACCAAAGTAACGAAATGTTACTTTCGAGGCCAGTGCCAAAAACTTCAATCAGGAAATCCGAACTGGCGTATACGTGTCCCGGTGTGTCCCATTGTTTTCTACTTAAGACGTCGATCGATTTCACGCTTAGATTATCCAGTGTATTCACTCTCATAAACGCGTTACCGTTTACAAAATTGCATAGCATAAAAACAAGTAACAAAAAGGCTGCCGGTATGCTCGAGCGGACAACATGTTGCGCCATCGTGCGACAGGTGCACCTGAGTGCACCGTGACAACTTCATACAGTTCTGAGGTAGAGCTGCATTTATAATCTCGTATTCTTCCACTACGCTTGCGTATTGCAGCATTTTAGCTGCCATCCAATCACGATGAAATGAACGCTCAACGTGAACAGAAAAGCAACTACCAGAATCGATGGTTTGTGTGGTGATAAATTGGCGGGAAGTAAGTGGAAGTAGGTTAATGAAAAATTCTCGCAATTTTTAGCATAAATTTGCAGTTTACTTGTTTTTAAATTTCATATCACCTTAATTTACACAATGCCTGTCGGTAAGTAATATTTGATTCATGATATCAAGTGTCAATTACAAATGAAAAACGTTATACCAAAGTACTGAGGAATACTGAAAACGTTTTCATTTTTTATTAGCAAAGTTGAAAGTCCAACAACAAATTGCTAATATTATCAAAAGGTTTAAGTTCGATGAATTAGAAACATCGGTAATGACGACTTTCCCAGAAATATCATGGACTGATCTGAAGAGTGCATTGGTTAAACATCGTAGAGCCTTCATATCAACTAATGTGGCACTAGTTTTTAGACAACTCATTTCTGTAAGTGCTATGCTGAAGTATATTTTTATCAATGATTATTAATGTTATTTACGCATACATTTTATTTTCATGTAGGAAGCAAAGATTGAAGACAAAGTTTTATGCGACCGTTTATTAACCTTACAACTAATTGGTAAATATATAAGAGAGTACATATAGTTCTACTTTCCTTTACTTTAATTTTCTTCTATTTCAGAAATTAATAATAAATTTTATATATTTCAGACATTAGTTGGCATAGTAAGAAGAGTATATGGTATTGTTATACATTTACAGATTCTAACAGATCGTCAAGTTATTTGACAAGTACACAAATTCAAACTAACATGCAAGATTACTTCGATTCTCTAAACATAGCAACTGACATAAGGATAAATGTACACAATGATATTACTTACATTTCTTTAATGGAAAAAGTAAGTACAAGTAGAAAAAGGAAACTCCAACATGTGAGGCCAATATATGTTGCCTTCTTTATGGATCAGAAATATTTCTTTTCTACCCATAAACACCTTTCATCTGATATCTTAAATGCAGTAGCAAAAGGTGTGGGTTTTGACAATCCTAAACGACTCAAGTTATCTGGTAGAGTCCTTCAGTCATTGAATCAGTTGTGTTGGAACAAAAAAGAAGGAGCAGTGAATTCTGAGAACGTTACAGAAGATTTAACATATATTGAAAATGAACCTGATATAAGGTAACACTTGTTATTAAAGCTCTTGAGAAGTAAAAAACTGAGACATGTTTTGTCATCACTTCTAGTTATATTATTTTACTTGTTTGTTTTTTACAGAGACACTGGTGTCGATTTTACTCAACAGAATGCACGGGAAAATTATACTAAAAGATGTTTTAGTGACAATCCTCCAAATTTGGAAAAACTTGTTTGTACAGGATTAGAGATACCTTTTTCACATGAATCCATAGCGATGGAGTTAGCAGGTGAAGAAATATCCGTAAAGTGAGTGTGTACATCCTTTAAATTTACATTTTGTATTTTTACTTCTTTTAACTTTTATTTTATATACTTCAGATGGGAGTTTCGTAGTCGCGATATTGCTACGTGGTTGTCAAAATTAATAGAGCGACGTGTACTCGTTACACCTGTACCTCATTATATATCAAACTTAATGACACTTGGTAGAAATGAACTGACTCTTGCGAGAGATAGTGATTGATCGAGCGATGAAACGTGTCAGATGAATTAGTTTGTCAGTTCGAAAGACGAGGCAAAAAAATTGCTCCTGCTTATAAAAACATATTTTTAGATAATTATTACTATCGATTAAAACTTAACAACTTTATTTCTGTGTTGCGCTAATATATTTTTTATTATATGTTGATTAAATAGCGAGATTTTAATAACTTGATAGAATTAATAAACCTAAATGAAATTTGTACGTATAAATCAGGAATTAGATATATTAAATAAATAAGGACAGACTGTAACGTTTTATACAATATACGCAATATTTTATCATAACTAATTGTATTTCATCTACTAA